AGCGCGGAACGCTCCACTCCAATCGATTATATCCACCGCATCCGGCTAAACAACTACCTCATTAAAAACTTTTTGTTTCCAGTTAATGCAATTAATTTATGTTGATTAAAGACGTAATTAATATATTAATAAATCATGTTATGCATTCTTTATTAAATAAAGAATTCTACTTATTTTCTTGATAAACATATTCATATCGAAAACAAAAATATTATTTGTCTCATTTTTTTGTTTGTTTGTGAGACTTTCGATATTCCAGACACACATTTGTAAATTATTACTATATAACAATAAAAAAATTATGGCTGCATAATTAGTAGTTCTTAAAGCTATTGTATAGCTGATTAATTTAACTTTATTTAATTTTCTTTTAGTAACTAATAACTTTATGTAACTAATGTTTGTACTTGCAAATAACTAAATTGTAGGGCAGTTTAAATTTGATTTAATTTAGTTTATAACCAAAAACATAGGTCGGTAACATAAAGAGCATTCGAGTTTGTTACGGAATGGGGGAAAACTGTTCCATCCTCTAGCGCGGAGATAGCAGTGTAGAAGTTTTCCCACAGTAATATGGTCCACCAGGGTGTGATTTTTCCAACAGTTAAAATCTATTCAGCGGGGCTCCGGTCTCTCTGGGGCGTGATGTGTTATAGTTTTTGAAGAGGGCAGTTAAAATAGAGCGGCGGCCGTTAATGACCGAAGTTTTAGACGTGGGGGTGGCTAATCGGGTAAAGGCGTCGCGACGCGGCCCCCGTCGTTGGGGGTGCAGATGACGAAACCGTGTCGGCATTGCCCCCGTGAGATGGCGCAATCCCTACACATCTACCAGTACTATCCAGGTCTAATTGCATTACACCGAGAGTTCCACGCTCCCTCGTGATTTTATCCCATCCGACGATGCGATTTCTCACGCTCACTCCTTCCTTAAAAATAATCGGTATACGTTTAATGCTTTATGCATTAGTAATTTATCGGTATTTAATACATTTTCATAAAATACTGAAATAATACCGCAATATCTCGCATAGTCCGGCTTCAATTCACTCATTTTTTAATTGATTTTGTGATTGAGACCTTACTTTTGGAAAGTTTAAAGTTAATTAATCGGATTACATTCAAATATTTTTTTACTGAGATTAGTGATTTGTTATGGAATTCTTAATCTCATTAACATCAACAAAAGTGTGATTTAATAATTTTCCTATTCAGAAAATTTAATAAAATTATGAAACATTTATCAAACTATTAATTAGTGCTGTATATGTATACATAAAACTTCAAGTAAATGAAGACAAAACTAAAAAAATCAAACCTTGAGCATTATTTTTTTTTATAAATTTACACGATCAAAATATCGAAAGAAAAAATATATGAGTTGGAATCGTTCCGAGTTATTTCTGTTTTTATAATCCGGCGATCATCTCAAGTGGCAATCGTTTTATCAGGCAGATGAAAACAATTGACTTCCAGTCAGCGCTAAACAAATGCCGCCTTCGGCCTGATGACTATCCGTTGCGTCACACAGCATCCGTCTTCTGTCTAGCCGTTCGCATGTTTCCTATTCGTAGATTACACGATTATATATTGTCCTGTAGTTAATCGCGGATTTGTTTGCAAATATTCCGACTTTTTATCGTGTGTTAAACATACGAAAAAAACATATTATTATTAAGGTGTATTGGATAAATGGAACACTTTATCAGACTCGGTAAATATGAGCGAAAAATATATTTGTAAACGCATGATTTTCCCATACGACATTTTTATCGTGAATGAACTTCAACAAATTTGTTTAAATAAAATAAATATTAGCACACTTTGCTAATGTTTCGGTATTTTTTTTTTATATAATACAAAATATAAAATGATATTATAGCATTTATATAATTGAATATATTTTTGATACTGCAAGCATTATTAATTCGAAGCTGAAGTTATAAAAGAATAGAAAAGATAGAGTGTTATTTATTTTCTTTTATTGGATATATAAAAAACGTGAAAATAAAATAAACCATAAATTGTAACTTGCAACTTTCTTCGTGTTTTTTATTCGTTATATGCAGAACCTTTTTTCGTCGTTGCGAGGTTAGATTTAAGTGACTTGAAGATGGACCAGCAAATAAAATATGGTAATAAAAATGCGAATGTCTTTTGTTTGATGTGTGTGTGTTGTGTATAGATGCGTGGACGTGTATCTATGTGTGAGAGTATAGAAGGGAGGAAAATATGAGCGGAACCTAATTCAATTGGAACACCCCAAGCACAGGGGTGCCCGCAAAGGACGCACTGTTTGACTAAGCGAATTAACAAACAGCATGCAGACGGCATAGAAGGGAGGACGAGTGGGTGAATGTGATGAGGAAGAGAGAGAGAGAGAGCACATTAAATAATTAAAAATTATTACGCCTCCGGCTTATGGACTTTTCATATTAATCCATGGTAACGAAAGAACGAAACCAGAAATAAGCAAGCAACCGAATTAAAAGCAAATAATTTTCGACCCGACAAAGGGCAGATGAAGAATTCATCCGCAAATCTCGTATTCCCTTTCTGACTTATTCGCAGTTGTTACTAAATTCTTAAAATACAATTCCGCGCATACCAAACGATATTATTAAGCAAATTACATTCAACACTGAATAACTGTAATTAACGTATCTTATTTGAATATAACCTTGTCCAAAGATTAAACCCTCGCACAATTTATTTTGTTATTTAAGTCTAATATGAATATTATTATAAAAAGTACAATATTCAGAAATTTAAACTTTAAATTTAATTCCAGACTAATGACTCTATGCAATAATCATAAAATAAGTTTGGTTTCAAATAGACCGAGAGTGATTGCTGTATGTATTCATATTAACTAAAATTAAACTATTATTCATTTGTTATTGAGAAAAATCTAATGCAAATTGTACGATTTGCGTGTAAACATAAACGATTAATTGTTTATGAGTTGTAAAATAAGAGTAATAAATATACAAGTTGTATATTAACAATTCACGGTTTTTGATGTTTACTACCAAGTCGCACAATTTGCGTGTGATTATTCGCAGCATCAAATAGATGATAGTTTAATTTTAGATACTTACATTTTAGTCAATAGAAATATTATCGTTGATACTAGAGAAAAATCAAATGCAAATTGTGCAACTTGCTCGTAAACATCAGAAAGGATGAATAATTAATTTAAAAATACTATTGTTTATGTAGAATAGTATTATGATTATTTCTTTGTCCCGAATGCGCAATATATAATTGTTCGATATTACGTAAATCTCGTACCATTCTGAATAGGTAATCATGAAATAACTTACCACAAACGCAATTAACAATCTCTGATGTATAATAAAATATTGTCACTTAATTGAAATAATTGTTACGTAAACGCAATCACCTTGAACGAAACCGAATCCCGGTTCAGCTATTTCCTCTTCAACGCGAGCCACGCACATTGTTCTATAACAGAAAATCACCGAAACGTGACAGTTGTAGATTTGACATTTATTGCACATGTCATAATTATTTTTAAATACAAATCAAGTATAAATTTGTATTATGCGTGATAATTTATGTTGTTTTTAAATTAATTACTTATAATTGATATCAGATTACTATATTGTTACTTACTAAGAACAATAAATCAGTTTTATCGTTTAATTCACTTTTCCTTTTTATCATTCAATAAATTATTTAACGATTGGCAATGAATGAAAATTGCTACTGATTAAATTACTACTAATAAATAATTTTATTATCTTAACATTGAAATAAAATGGGTTTGGAGCATTTTAGGAATTGAGTTGGACGTTTTTGATGAAATAAGAATTTAAATTGAATAAAAATTGTTTATTACCATTCTTAACAAAATACTTAGTAAATTACAATGGTGGCCAGACTATTTACAGCAAGAGCAACAGTTATGTCGAGTCATAACAAAACTCTTGAAGAGCCGCATGCGGCTCACGAGCCACAGTTTGGAAACTCCTAGTATATAATATATCTTGTAACGTCTACAATTTTTATATAAAGGGTATATATCCTAATTTGAGTAAGCACTTTTAGGTTGTTGTACTTTATGATATAAGTAAATTATATGTCTTTTTAAGCTTAAAAATAATCTACGTTTATGTACTGTTTTAATGGATATTTATATCAAAATTAAAAATTGTTTTAAGGTAATTAATGAGAGTTTAAAGAAATCTCGATTTTTATTCTTATATATTATTTTTTTTAGAATTATCCCTCTCGGTAATTTGCGGTGATTTATTGTCATTCGCACTCCCCTAATAAACAATTAGCTCAACAATGTAAACACTTAGGAAGGACGTGAATGTCGATGGAGAATGCAGACTCCGTGGGGGATTTAGGGTACTATAATATCAAGTCCCGGGAGAGAGACCTCCCGAATGATGGAGAAGGCTAGGATAGCGAAACTCCCTTCGAGGGACGCGTGAGTGGGAAAAATGAAAAAGTGAAAAATTGCGCGCAAGACAGAATAAATGAAAGCAGTTTCTCCCCCTTTTTTTTGCATTCTACATCCGCGTCTCAACTGGCGAAGAATAAAATACGACCCCCGCGACAGTATAATTCAGCAGCAGAAGCCCAGCGAACATAAGAAATTCACATCATTTTCATTCTGAGAAATAAGAAAATAAAAATAAATTATTTCGAAAGGAACTATTTTATACAGTAGAACCTCGGTTCTCGAACAAATCAGTTCTCAAAATAAAATTCGGTTTTCGAAAATAATTTATCTTAGTATATATAAATTACCATTAAAAAAGTTTAAATATAAATATAAAAGTTCGGTTTTCGAATAACCTTTAGAAACGAATTTTCACAACCGAGATTTCAATGTATTTTCATCAATCCACTACATTATTTATGCAATTTCTTGTGTTATACAGTTTATTGTATTTAAGTTATAAACAAATATGTTTTTAAGTTAAATATGAAAAATGATTAAAGTCATTTTTTGTAATGACATTGAGAATGGAATAGAATAAATAAAATCCACCTTATTTATGTTGATAAAAGTTAGAAGTTGGGGGAGCGTAATAAGTGTCCTTTATCAGGATGATGTATGTACGAGCGCGGTTGCGATCATCCGGGCAACTTTACAATCAATCAACCCCCTACACGGCGCGCAGCATTTCGTCCCTGCGAGAGGGATGATTAATGACAATGGAGCCGACAACATCGCCTCCCGCTGACGGAAATACCAACAACTGGAAACCGGAAACCCAAACGAAACACCCAACCCAGCGACGCTCCGGCACACAATGACATGTTTTATTGACGTTTATCATTTGAACTCGTTTTATTATATTTTCCAGTATGTTCAATTTGGGTGCTCTCACCAAAACATCTAGCGTTTTACTAAATGATGACGAAGGTTACATAGAGGTACACGACATTCGCTTCACACCAAAATGCATAGTCTTCAGGAATCCGTACGAAGGTAAAAAGTTTGAGAGCAGTTTAATCCTACAGAACGTTGGAAGGAAGCCCGTTTTTATTAGGATCATCGCACCTACATCCTCGGTAATACAAGTAAAACAATTCCCGAAATGCATTTTAAAGCTCGCTTTATAGGCTATTAAAATAAAGACACTTAGGAATGGCACGTATTTAGCTCCCGGTATGAGTATTAAAAGGATTGTAAAATACACGGCAGTTATGGCCACCATTACAAGAGCCTGCATTATACCAATCCACATAGACAAACATTATTTTAGCTACAATATCAAAGTGTACAATATGCAAACATTTCATTCCTAACTGTAGTAATCATTTATTTATTTATCAGGCAATTAGCAGCTGTTATATTAGAAACTATACCGAGACTCATAGATTTCGGGTGCATAGACGCAGGTCCCACTACATCAAAAAAGAAATTACTACTAATCAATAGAGGCGTGAAAGCAACGAAATTTGTAGTAGATCTTGGATCGAACGATTTAAATATTATAGTCGAACCTATGCGAGGGATTTTAACGGTAAAGCCACCTGAAAGTTTTATATTAACATTCCATTCAACTGTATTTAGAGTCGGAGTCAGGTGTTATTCCACATAGAGCTGAACGCGATGAAAGAGGGTCAATACCAAACTGAATTTTGGATCATTTCCGAAGTGCCACTCTGTATAAAAGTGTTCGTAAATGTCGTATTTGGTAAAATCGAAGCTATACATAAATTCGCAATGAGACAATTCACTTTTATTCATTTCCCTAACACGTATTACGGTTTGAACAGTGTAAAAACCATGATTTTGAAAAATAACAGTTACATTGGAACTATGTTCTGTGTCACCGCTGAAAAAGAGGGAGAAGATTTCGTAAGATTTTTCAATATTAATTACTGTTCAAGTTAACTAGTGTTATTTTTAGCACGTTGAAGATATTATGAAAGAAGATTCCGATTACAGCTTCTTCAATATCGTTCCATTCAGCGGCAGACTTCCACCACGCGACGTGAGAGCGTTTTTCTTCATCTTCTCTCCAAAGTTACTCATAAAGTCCCAAAGTTGTGTTATTATGGCCATGATTAAAATCAACAAATTGTACTGCAAAGATTTAGATTTAACATTATACGAAGGTAATTTATATAACTATTAAAAACATATACTTTTAACATGTAAATTGTATACATTTCAGATGAGCTATTGTTCGATGAACCTGAAAAGCGACTTTCGAATTCACTGAGGTTAGAATCCAATGCTTCTCTAATACAGCAGCAAAATGGTACATATTAAATTTTACAAATATCTAAGATAATGATGTATTGAACACTACAGAAATACCTCAAATGGAAAATAACGATGATGATCCCGAAGACTTGGTGGATATAAATAAACCAGTCACATTCTTTGAAAATCATGTGCGTATTTTATTGCACGGGGAAGTCGAAGAAGTTTCAGTCTCAATTGTACCTGATGAAATTCAACTTTCTGATTTAGTCGTCAAGCAACAAGAAAATCGAGTCGTTCAGCTAACTAACAACTCACAAAATCTTCCGATTTACTGCAGATACCGAAAGTGCGCTTTTGTTGATATTGAACCAAAATTGATTATGCTGAAACCTTTAGAGAAAAAAGATTTGTTGGTCGTTATTACAGCTAGATCATCCGGTACAGTGAAACTGACCGTACGCTTCGATTTACTTTATTACGATTATCCTAATTTGGATAAAGAATTAAAAATAATCGGAGAAGTCTCGTTCAGCCTATTAATTGAAAACACAGTTGCAGAAATGAGTGTTTATCCGTGATTATTCATCTTATTTGTAATTATTATAACTTTAAATATATTTATTATAGCGGGAGATGCACCATAAAAGATGCTTGCATACCGAGGTTGGGTAATAACGGTGAATACGAGCTTACGAGCAAAGGTATCAAAGTTAAAGAGGAACTGAAGGATTACTTCAGGAAATTTATTAGGAATTACGCCGAAAAAATGCGAAAAACTTTACTAGTACCTGTTTCTAATTTCGAAGATTACGAAATATCAAAAGCAGCATATCGGTGTACTAAATTTACGATTAAAACTATACCAGAAATTGTGGGGAGTGAGTTCATTCCGTTGACTCCCTTTCAAATGTTTAATATCAAAATTAAACCCAGAAATATGATAGTTGAAAACGTATTGTAATTTAGTTAGTTATATCACGATTAATTAATTTTATTAAAATTTCAGGTTGTGGCCAAATCGAGATTTATGCGAAGTATGAAAATAATCAATAATAATATATTTCCGGTGAGGGCATTTTTGAAACCGCATAAAACACACAACTTCGTATTTCCGTACGGTTGTCGTAAGGAAATTAGTGCATTTGGAGAAGAGGATGTGTTTTATGAATGTCTTACGGAGAACACCACTATTCAAAATCATATTCTCGATGTTATCATCAACGAAAACCATGTTTATGAAACATCCATTTCTGTTAAGCTTGTACCAAAAGTCTTGCATTTCAGCTTTAAGGATGCAGTATTTCAAGAGGACGAACCGCCTTACAAGTATCTTGAGATTTACAATAACGTGAACACAGACATTTACTTCGAATGGGATATTTTGGCTGATTTAAGTGCAGAACCGCTCAAGGGTTTAGTTCGTCCTGGAAGAGCCTTAACGTGCTTGATTTATTACGATATTGCCAATTGTTCTGTTAATAATTACGAATTGCTAATGAAGATGGACAACAAGAGGAGTCAAACTTTCCGGTTTATTTTGGATAAACTAAAGTATGAAGTAACATTCGTCGATGAAATAGATTTCGGCGATGTGGGCATTAACGTGAATTCTCAGAGAAAAGCAGTTTTGAATAATAACAGTTTTGAGCCTTTGTCATTCGAGACAAATATAGATGATTTTGTAGATGGTATGAAAGTGTATCCAAGGGATGGAATAATAGAACCTAAATCCAAAAAGATATTCATTTTTCAATTGTTGCGACATGCCGCAGGACCTTTCGAAAGTAAAATGATCATTAACGTAGCCAACACCACATTACTTTCGGTGACAATTAAAGGGAACGTTGTCCTTCCAAAAGTACAATTCAACCCGGAAATCATCAGATTTAAGAAAATGTCTGCGAGTTCCTTCGACGTAAAATGTTTGAGCGTTAAAAACATATCGAACATAACTATTCTCTTTGAATTCGAGCCGGAGAGAATTCCCGAAATGAACTTCACTGAAAGAGACTCGCATATTTTTATCACCGATGAGGAATATTATTTGGAACCGGGTGAAGAGAAGAAATTCACCATTCACTATTATCCTACCTACGCTTTGGTAACATCCTTTATGGCTCCTGTATTAGTAAACAAACTCAATTACTCTAAACTACCAAATTTTAAATTGTACACATCAGTGATGACGCACAAATTATTTACTAAAACATGGAAATACGAATTTTTCTACTTTCCACATTACGAAAGCTACTCAAAGTTGACACAGAAAATTCGAATATCAAATCCTTCAAAATCTCTTTTAAAGATTTGTATTAGATTTGATCAGTTGAAGGAGCCGTTCAGCTTAGAACACTTAGAAGGCGGTCTTTGTACCAAGTACGAATGTTCTATTGTAGTTGAATTGGAAGCAGACACGCAGGTAATCTTCTTAGCTCATTTTAGACCGCAAACTCCAGGATTCTACGATATAAGACTACCAGTATACGTAAAAGACGACTTTTCCGAAGACATGCACAATTATTTTTACTTTAAAGGCATGTATCCGTCGGCCGAAATCAAGTCCAATTACGAATCGATTTATTTTGGAATGTTGCCACTGAACTTCCAAATTATGACAAATGTGGAATTGAATCTGCATTACCACAATCCAGATTGCGACTTGAAAATTGTCAGCACCGACATTAATATGCAAATTCAGAGCGGAGAATTGGTAATGAATGAGACGGTCGTGAAACATCGTTTTCAGATTTACTACTTGGCCCACGAAACACATAACATAGATACACAGCTACAAATCTACTGCAAATGCGGCGCATATAAAACAATTAAATGCACTGGAAGCACTGAGAATTGCTTTATAACTAATTTTGCTTGTTGCAAGTATTTTGAGGAAGAATTGAAGCAACCGATAGATACTATCTTTCATATGTCACAATTAAACGTATTTAATGTAAATCAGCATTCATCAATATTAATTTTATAATACTTTTTTTGTAGGCCGAATCTAAATCATCTTTAGGATCTTACTTTGTTTTAAATACCACGGAAAAGATTAAAAGCTACGAATATTTGCATGGACTTTGCTTTCCAACAACGCCTGGACCATTCTTGAATTACATGAACTCTGCGGTGAAGGCTGTTGAGCAATGGCTTTATGAACAAGGTTTCTATGGTACTGTATATTACAAAGTACCAGATACCATAAGCATCTTTGAAATAACTGAAGACAAACAGTTTATGGGAAAAACCAAGAGGTTTGCTAAAATTGGAAAAAGCATTATGTTGCCATACTTTGCATTATTAAAAAATATTTGTGGAAACATAATTAGCAAATATTTTAAACTGGAGTAAGTTATTTACCTAAGCTACAATTAATTCTTTATCATTTCATTATGTAGATTGAATGAACAGGAAAATGTGGTTCTGCAAGTTTACAAAGTATACCAACAATTAATTGATTTCCTTCATAAAATACAAGCGTTTGTAAACCATATTACTCCTGAATTCTTGTTAAGTTATGATGATTACGTGGATTACATGTCCGAGATAGGAAAGAAGCCAATAACATACACAAAATTTTATCAACAATCCAAGCAGTTTTGGCTCGACCTTTTGCTACAAACTTACAAGGTGTTTGTTTATAAAAGATTGCTATCCACGAATCCGAATTTATCCACATACACGTCGACGTGCAAAATAGACGTTTGCTCCAGTTTATACATTTTCACTGAAAACATCGTTCCGATAAACGAAGCCATTTACAGCGATCAAGGTGCGATGATTCTCAATTGGCTTAACAAACATTTTCGAGAGCAAAAGTACTTCTTAGCTTCGGAGACGTTCGGAAATGATACTTACGATGAAGCCATTTTAGATAGAAAGAATGTACAAAATTTTAGCTCCGACTTGTGTGATGGTTTAGCGTTTTGCGCTGTAACTGTTGCATTGTGTCCATATTTAATCAATCATCTGAAGGGAATATACGTACCTCCGATGTGCAATGAAGAGTATTTGCACAACGCCTGTTTACTCATCAAAGTGTGGAAGATGATGAATTCTAGTTACACAATCATGCCTAAAGATATTACACAACCGAACGATATACAAATGATCATGTTTTGTGCTTATCTTTACGAATTCTTAATCCGACTTAAACCAAAGGAAACTATACATCTGAGCGCAAACTTGTCGGACTCAGTAAGCGAAAGCATTAGCATAGGTAACGATAATTGCCATGCCATAATTTACAAAATCGTATTTTTTGATAACCAAGATGATTCGTTCACACTCGAGAATAACACAATAACGATTCCCCCAAACGCAGTGCGAAAATTAAAGATAACTTACCATGCAAAGTTTGTGAAGAAGCTGAAATCAACGATGGTTTTATGCGGAGAAATGTATGGTAATAAATTTACTCACGGAAAGGCTTTCTATCTTCAGGGAACTCCACTATTTACCAACCCTTCTATTGAGTTGACCGCATCATCTCGCGTTTACGAAATCAAAGAAATTTCCATTGAATTCCAAGCTCCGTACCATGAACCAGCTGTTTACGAAATCTACTTCACCATGAACGAACCCAAGGAAATTGAAAATCTGCAATTGGTTTCTTATAAACAAATACTGAATTTCAATTCGTTGCCGAGGGTCCAGATCGAGCATGGTACTTGCGAAGCAAATGAGGAAGGAATAATTTCCATCACAGCTACAGTTTGTTCGGTTACTAAGAACAATAGAGATGTATGGGTATTTGCAAAGAACTCTACAGTCGGCGATTTTATGGTTCTGCTGCACATCGAGGCTATGCCCTCTAAGGAATTCACAAAGATATGCCTAAATTTACCTCAGAATTTTAACGAATTGCCGTGCAACTGCAAAATACCTAGTGTCAATAACAGCTGTCCAAGAAATGTGATTTTGAAGATACCTTCGAGAAACGCCGCACTTTGGAAGGCGGTTATGGGACAACTACTTCGAAATCCCGATGAAGATGAGCAACGCTTTTGGACCACTTACCAAAGTTGGATAATTGTATTTAAAAATTCATAATATAATACAGTGTAATGTTTCAGAATCTCCGATTGGTCAACACGTTATAAAGAGGATTTTGATGGATTACAAGAAGTTTGTTACCATGGATACGGCATATATTTTCAATGCAAGCATAGAGTACGCAGTTCGTGTAAAAAGCGATGATGTTATAGCACAGGAATCATTGGTCATAGCGAACACTACGAAATTATTGGATACTACAGATTTGACTCTTCATATTACTGGAGACGCTAAACCATTTAAGTTTGTGCTGGAATCATTGGATAGAAAGGAACTTCGACAGTACCGTGTATGGTTGGATTTCCACAATAAAATGTTTTGATAAACTAAAAAATGTGATACAAAATATAAATAAATTTTTATAAAGTAATAAAAATGAGAACACTGATTACCGATTTAAACTTTCTAGATTTGTTTTTTTTTACTCTATTTAATCACTACAACATGAAGCTTCGCCAAACACAATTGATGAATTTATTGAATGTGTTCAAGATGCATTTAATAAATTAGAGAGAAATACTCGTAATAACGTTTTTAAAACATTACAAACGTGTATGGAATCAATTATGCTAACAGGAGGAGGAAATTCCAATAAATTTACTCATATAAATAAGGTAATACTTCGTCGTGAGGGTCGATTAACTGAAATGTATACTCTAATTATTTGTATTTAGTTATATTGTGTTAATAAAATTAATTTAATATTTTTTATATTTAATTTTAGTTTTATTTCATTTTTTTCACAAATGTATACCATATTTTCGGACAGAGGAAGTATTATTAACAATAATTATAAAGTAATTCAGGTTATTCGTACAAATATGACTTGAATAGAAACACGTGTAATGACATAGAAAACAAGCAATTGAGAGCAAAGCAGAAAAAAAAAAGAAAGTTTAATTAGCCAAGAAAACAAAAATAAAAGAAACGTAAATAAAAATGTATTTGTTATGTACATATAAAAATAGTAAAACAATGTAATATACATGCTGAACTAGATCAAATCAAAACTATGATTTGCGGTTTTACTTTTTGGTGAAAACAAAAAAAAATCGATAAATGTAGGAAGTAAATTCAATTTTTGCTGCATTCTGAATTATTTGTGCACAAAAAAAAAATCAAGGATTTATTTTCGACTAAACGCAGACATCTTAAACGGTTACGCTTAAGTTGACCAAATGAAGGGCATTCGAGCGGGGAGAAAATGAGGAGGAAAAAAAAATGTTGGACTGACGCTGTGAAAAATGGTAAATAAAATCCACATCCGTGGATATTTAAATGTGAAGTGGTGTATTGCGGCAGTACCATTGTTGCACAGACCGCGAACCACTAGAAACGCGTTTTAGCTTCGAATTTTTCGCGTGGAAAATAAGGAAATTTTGTGAGTTTCGATATGGATAGCACTGAGTTCAGGGAGTTCGGAAAAGCTGCCGTCGATTTTATTGCTGATTACTTCGATACAATCAGAGACAGGTATTTCATGATTACTAAATTGATTTATTTTTTAAATTATTTTGAATGCTCTTGATTAGAACTATCTCACATATAGTTTTTTTTTAAGAAAATATCCATTAAGAAAATAACCATTAAATTAGAATTTTTTTTGAGCAAAAATTGAAATTTTATGAATATTAACTATTTATGATACCGTTAATAATTTAATAATATATTTTAAATATACATATAGTACATAAGTACGTTTTATGAAATACTTGAGCAATTTCGTAGATAATTTACTTATAATAACCAACATAAAAAAACTCATCAAATTCATAGAAGTTTGCGGTAAAGTTAGATATAATCGCAGTAATAAAAATACTTCAACAATTAAGTATACCACAAACAAATAATTATACCATGATTATGTAAAATAAAAATAGAGGTTTAAATAAACCGCACATCAATAATCGTACATGTTAAATTAACAAATACTCAGTATTAATACAAAATTTTGTAAGTTGATTGTAAACTACAACTTTTATTCTTGATCATTAAATGATTTTTAAATAAATTTATATGAATTACTTTATTACAAAAAAATTTCGTCACTCTCAAATGTTTTTATTATCTAAAAAAACTTGTTTAATATCTATTGTTTCTATAAATAAGAAATTTTAAATATACTTTAAATTGATTTTATTTAAACTGTTTATAAGAATTCACAATATTGTGTAAGTCGCTCTTTCTCATGTCTATCTAATTACTTTTTGTCAGATAATAACTAGTTTTTTTTGTATCCTTATTTATCAGAAACTAAGCAAACATTTACAAATTAATAATTTTATAATAATTTATTAAGTAATGGTGCTACTCGTTTATTTCTCTTAAAATTATATCTATCTAAATTGATTATTTTGAAAACTAAAGCAATTGTATTTTCACTAAATGTACTTCAGTCAAATGATAATTACATAAATCAACGAAATTGTAAATACAATTTTTAATTGTATTCAGTTTGTTAGACAATAACTTTAATTAATTGACAGTTTTATGATTAATTAATAAATATTTTTATTAAGTACCTTAACTGATTAGATTTTATGTAAAATATCTAACGTTCAGTTTATTCTTTAAGAAAGTGAGCCTATTCAAGGTATAAGGACATTCAAAGTCAAGTTCCACACGAAGGTTAATTGTGCAAACTTTCATCTACTTATTCACAACAACTTTCAACGTGAAGAAAAACGATTCACATAAGAATTCCGTTTTTTCTCTTTGTCTCTCATTCTTTTCTCTCTTGGTTATTAAGGCACTTTTAATAATTACGAAGACAATTATATAAAAGTTCTCCCAGCAAATGCATACGGAATAATTCAAATAAGCTAATGAATATTTACGTCTTGGTTGAAAAATAAATCTAGCTGGAATCAATTGTGCAATTGCAAACAACAGTAAAAGTAGATTATCTGTTACAATGTCAAGGTAATAATATTTTTGCAGGGATGTGCTGCCGTCTATTAAGCCAGGATATTTGAGGCCCCTCGTTCAGTCAGAGGTGCCGCAGCAGGGTGAAAAATGGCAGGATATTCTGAAAGATATGGATAGGGTTATCCTCCCTGGAATCACGCACTGGCATTCACCAAACTTTCATGCCTACTATCCAACGGCCAATTCGTATCCAGCTATAGTTGGCGAAATGATGAGCGCCGGTTTGGGTGTCGTTGGATTTAATTGGGTAAACAAATGAATCTACAAAAAAAAACTTTTAAAAAAACTCAGGAGAACATATTAATGTTGAAATAATTATAATAGATCGCCAGTCCGGCTTGCACCGAACTGGAAGTTGTGATGATGGACTGGCTGGGAAAATTGCTCGAATTGCCGAAGGAATTTCTAAATGAATCAGAAGGACCAGGTGGAGGTGTTATACAAGTATGTTTATTTATAATTATAGTATCATGTTTTCTTTAATTTGTTTTATGTTCACTTTTTTAGGGTTCTGCTAGTGAAGCGACTCTGATTGGTTTACTTGCTGCAAAAGAACGAGTTGTTCGAAGATTGATGGCCGGAAATTCAAATATGACAGAATCTGAGATTAAAGGGAAACTAGTTGCGTATAGTTCGGATCAATCTAATTCTTCTGTAGAAAAGGCTGGTCTCATCGGTTCCATGATTATGAGGTTGTTGCCGTCCGACGATAAGGGTAGGTTAACAGGTAAAATACTGACAGAAGCAATTGAAAAGGATAAAAAATCTGGATTGATTCCGTGCTACGTGATCGCCACTTTGGGTACAACCCCGACTTGCGCTTTCGATGATTTACAAGAACTTGGTACAATTTGCAATGAAGGGGATATCTGGATGCATGTGGATGCAGCTTACGCAGGAGCAGCGTTCACTTGCCCAGAATATCGTTACTTGATGAAAGGCGTAGAAATGGCAGAATCATTCAACTTCAACCCGCACAAATGGTTGCTGGTCAACTTCGATTGCTCCGCACTTTGGGTGAAAAATGCTAAATACTTGGTAGAGGCATTCAACGTGGAACGCATCTATCTCCAACATAAGCACACCGGAGTTGCCCCAGATTACCTCCACTGGCAAATCCCGTTGGGCCGAAAGTTCAGGTCCCTGAAAATCTGGTTCACAATGCGCACGTATGGTGTCGAGGGAATCCAAAAACACATCCGCGGTCACATCGAACTCGCCAAGTACTTTGAGAGTCTCGTTAAACAGGACGAACGCTTCGAGGTGACCACCTCCAGCTTAGGTCTCGTCTGCTTCAGACTGCACGGCGACAATAATCTGACGCAATTGCTACACGACAAGCTCAACAATAACAAAAAGATATTCACCGTTCCGTGCAAGTTCCGTAACAAATTCGTCATCAGGTTCGTAATCACCAGCAGATTGACCGAACATAGCGACATCGATTTTGCCTGGAAGGAGATCACCAGCTTGACGGAACAAATAGTTTCCTCTCCGTGCCTTTCCAAACAGAAGATCTCGCACATCCAAGAAATGAATAGCTGCGAAAAGGTCAATGGGCGCGTTGAAAAATCTAAATAGTTTTAGTAGAAACTGTAGATGTAGTTGTAAATAAAAGGTCCATAGTTTTTTTAGTACAATTAATGTTTTATTTATGCTACATAACAAATAAATTATCGTTCTTTCACCCTCGAAGCTAAATAATAACAATTTTAAAATAACAAAAAAGAACTTTCTTCGTACTTTCTATTATTTTGCAACCTTAATTTTCAAGGTCAGTCATAATTCGAAGAAGCAATTTCTTTTAATTTATAATATAGTATTTATATTTCTTTGCTTTAAGAAATTAACAGCTCAAAAGAAAGTTAAATAAACAATCGCATTATTTAACTTTCTTTTGAGCTGATAATTTCTTAAAGCAAAGCATCATGATAATAATTGTAACAATAGCATATTTCAATAATATTGATAATATTTAAAATAAGTAAAATAAGTTAAACACTGAGACACAAATATTATTATTTTTTAGATTAAAACAAATTAAATTCTTACAAAAATATTTATCTAATGAAATGCCGGTAGTTAACTATATAAAGTTTTCTCATCATTATTTTAATTTTCTTCTCATTAAAATGTAATATTATATAAATTACAAAATTATGCTCTATAGAAAATGTTTCCGGAAAATAGTTTATTGCAAAATGTATTAAGTTTGATGAGCTATTGTTGGAAGTATAAGTAATGTTTGCGAAAGAAAGAGTGCGGAAATGAGTTGCGAAGCAGTGACGGATTATCGCAAAGACACAGGAAGCGCGCGTATGAGGCCTCTTAAATCAAGGGACCTCAAATTTTAAAATGACCCACGACAACCTAAAGCTGCCCTTCAAAAACAATACTTCCGTCATCATTTTTGAACTAAAACAAAATTTGAATTGGAAATATTTAGTCATGAGGCCTCTCAAGTGCTTAATCCAACACTGCGCAAAAGAGACAGAGAGTAAGTATTTAAGACGAAGTACATAGAATATTCGAAGTATATTCATTTTATGTTCAGACGCAATGGATGTAAATGAATTTCGTGAATTCGCAAAGGCCACCATCGACTACATCGCCGACTACCATGAGAATATTAGAGACAAGTGAGTTTAATCCCATTATATTACTTTAATTTGGTGGGCAGCAATTAGCAAGTGATTGATTTTATAGGCAAGTCCTTCCGGACATTAGTCCCGGATATATAAAGGACAAAGTACCATCGGATCCACCCAAAGAGGGTGAACATTGGGGGAACTTATTGAAAGACGTGAACGACGTTATCCTGCCTGGATTAACGCACTGGCAGTCGCCGAATTTCTACGCCTACTACCCCGCATCCTATTCATTCCCATCCGTCGTCGGAGACTTACTTAGCACCGGTCTCGGATGTGTGGGACTCAATTGGGCAAGTACATTATTTTCATTACACATACCTAACATTTAATCTGAACTAAATAAATTGAAACCAAATGAATTAAAGACTTGTACGTTAATTACTAATGAATTATATCAGAAAACTGTTTTCATCGCTATTATCTGCAGTCCAGACGTGATATAATTAATCAGAAAACTATGTTAATAATTATTTGTTGTCTAGACACATTACCTAATCTAATGAATAAAACAAACAGATTACAGGACCCGCAATCACCGAATTAGAAGTGGTCATGATGGACTGGCTTGGAAAAATGCTTGATATTCCACTTGCATTTTTAAATTGCTCCGAAGGACCTGGCGGTGGTATAATTAAAGTAATTCTAAATATATTTATACCTATTTGAGTTTTATTATAATAATTAGACAAAACTATATCATTTTTTACTGATGCGATAATCTAATATATACAATGATTTCTTAGGGTACAGCAAGTGAAGCAACTTTGGTATGTCTTTTGGCAGCCAAAGATAAAACCGTAAGGCGTGTAAAAACACTGCGACCAGATCTATGTGATTCAGATATCAAAGGTAAATTAGTGGCATATAGTTCAGATCATTCTAATTCTTCTATTGAGAAGGCAGGATTGATTGGTTCAGTACCAATGCGTCTGTTACTCAGTGATGATGAAGGAAGACTCAATCCACAATTTTTGAAAGAAGCTATAGAACAAGACTTGAAACTAGGTTTATTCCCGTGTTACGTAGTTGCTACCTTAGGTACAACAGGCACTTGTAGTTTCGATAATCTACAAGAAATAGGACCAATTTGCGAAGAATTCAACGTGTGGTTACACGTGGATGCGGCCTATGCTGGAGCTGCATTCGTTTGTCCTGAATATAGATACTTAAAAAATGGATTAGAATACGCAGAATCATTCAATTTTAACGCTCATAAATTTATGTTAATAAACTTTGATTGCTCTATTTTATGGGTGAAAAATGCTTTCAATCTCATTAATGCTTTCACAGTAGAAAGACCATACCTTAAACACGAATATGATTCTGCTCCTGAATATATGCATTGGCAAATACCGCTAGGAAGAAGGTTCAGAGCTTTAAAACTATGGTTCATGATACGAACGTATGGTGTAGAAGGTATCAGGAAATATATTAGAAAGCAGACGGGATTAATAAATTATTTCTCTGAAATTCTGAAAAAGGATTCAAGGTTTGAAGTGTGCTGCAAAAATTTAGCGCTGCTATGTTTTAGAGTGAGGGGAGATGACAACCTGACGAAAATGCTTTTGAATAAGCTTTACGAAAGGAAACAAATTTACGTAATCAGTTATACTTACAAGAAGAACACGGTGATAAGATTTTCAATAAATAGCAATGAATGCTCTGAAGCGGATTTGCACTTTGCATACACCGAAATATCCAATCAAGTCGACGATATATTAAATAAAAATTTTATTGTAATCACAAAGGAGGTGAACTTCAAGATTGAATTTGATAAATCCATGGAATTGGAGAATATTCATTAGTTTTTCTAAATAATATATGTATCTGTAAAATAAATAAACAATAAATATTTTTCATTCTGACGAATCATGTTTTCCGTGAGACATAACAAATTCGCATTTTTTGACATTTTTATCTTTCAAAATGATAAATTCAGATGAGTACGTTTCGATCTAATTTATTGGCAAAATGATTTTCGGGGGAAGATTAAATTCATCTATTCGCTGTTTGAAAATATGCAGGTAAGACAATGTGCATTTCAAATAATCCCATTATTTCCCATCGCAGACGAAATTTGATCATTACCATTAACTCAAAGAATTCTTTGTCAAAATTTGGAGTTTTTTTAAATTCAATCGAAATCCAATGCAAATTGTTACATGAAAGAAATTGCTAGTAAAAAGAGAATATGTAGTCTCATATTAACAAACTTGCAGAAAATATTTGATATTACAATACATAAAAAGTGCACATAAATTTATTTAAATTAATAGTAATACTATGCATTTTAATAATTACTAAAGGTTAGTGTTAAGTTTTCCATTTATAAGAAAATTATACTTTCATTTTTATATCCTTTTTATTAATAATGGTTTACAAATAAACAAATAGTTAATGAATGATCCTTTGGGAAAAATAAAAATGTTTGTATTTTTATTTATGGTAAAACATATCTGTTTCAATAGATTTTATAAATTAATGAAATAAACAATAAGTTTACATTAATCAATCTAAATTAAAATTAAATTTATGATAAATAATGGATTTTTCTTTGTCATTTGCGACATTCATCTGTATAAATATACTATTAATTATGTATTTGTTTTAGAAAATTTTTGTCGCCACTGCAATGTAATGTAAGAAAAAATCAAGGTTGCTTAATGAGCGGTGGTGGATGTAAACCACCCACGACATTAGAGGTATGCACCATTTCCGACTCAATGGTAGATCCTTGCAAACCTGAACCAGCGATTGTAATTGTGGGTGGAGGCATAGCTGGTTTGTCTGCAGCGCAACGTTTGAATCAATGCGGCATCAGTAATTTTATGGTACTGGAAGCTACAGATAGGTACGTTGCGCCGTCTGTTGGCTACTGGACGAAATTTATACTTTGTACTTCTGTAGGCCCGGTGGCAGGATTCACTCCTGCTGGCTAGGGGACGTCATCGCAGAAATGGGAGCGCAATATATACAGGGTGGTTGTCCTGCAAATCCTATTTACAATTTGGCCTGCCAGGAGGGGCTGTTGGCGCCTCCGCTGAAGAGACCCGATCCGACAAGAGGAATTTATTATACGAGCGACGGAAGAGCGGTCGATATGCCCGTTAGTATAACGGCGTATCACACTTTCAAACAAATTGAGCAGGAGGCGGGAATGTTGTTTGGAATGGGCATTGGCAAAGAACACGGATCCTTGATGAACTTTTTCAGTATGCGAATACAGCAGGAACTGCAGAATTTCTCTGAAGACCAAAGATACGATGCTTCTCGTGTCCTATATGGCTTGACAAATTCACTGAGGGCGCGTTGCGGTGACGATCTGAGTGTTGTTAGCGCAGATAACTTTGGGAGCTACATTAATATTCCTGGTGGGAATCTTAGAATTCCCCTTGGGTTTGTGGGTGTTTTGGCTCCGTTACTGCGCGAACTTCCCGATTGCACTTTGAAGTTCTCCAAACCTGTGGCTACTATTAAATGGGGCGCAGTTCAAGAGCGTTCAGGTGGACCAAGAGCCAAAGTTATATGCTGCGACGGCGAAGAATACTGCGCTGATTATGTGCTGGTCACAGTGTCTTTGGGTGTATTGAAAAACCACGCGGATAAATTATTCTGTCCGGCATTACCAGCGGAAAAGATGGAAGCTATAAACAATTTGGGCTATGGTCACGTAAACAAGATATTTTTGGATTACGCTAAGCCTTTCTGGGTGTGGTCTGAGGGAGGGATTAAATTTGCTTGGTCTGCAGACGAATTGAACAATCGGTGCGACTGGACACGAGGAATAAGTTCGATTGAGGAGGTCGAAGGCAGTAAGCATGTATTGTGCGCTTTCATATCTGGACCGGAAGCAGCAAAGATGGAGCAAGCAAGCGACGAGGAAGTGGCCGAAGGGGTGACCAGAGTCTTGAGACAGTTCACCGGCGATGCTTCTTTGCCGTTCCCGAATTCCATACTTCGTTCTAAATGGGCCAGCAATCCATACTTTTGCGGATCATACAGTTATATTGGAGTCAGTTCATCCGTTGGACATCAGTGTGATTTGTCTTGTCCTTTGCCTGGACCCTGTGAGCCTGTGCCACCCATCTTATTGTTCGCCGGGGAAGCGACGTGTGCTGGACACTATTCAACCGTTCATGGTGCAAGATTGAGCGGTATTAGGGAAGCGGAAAGGATTATTCAACTAACTAAAAAACACGGAGGTCCACCTCCAAAGTAAATTTCACATTTATTGTTACACATTAAGTTTTTCTCTATCTCATTGTTACGACTATTACACTATACAACAATAAATAATATAACAACTAAATACACACATTTATCTCTCAATTATATAAGATGAGACTAGAGTAAAGTAATTTATTGGCTAAGAACTTCGTTGGCCACTACTTTGATTTCGTTCCAAGATAATTCAATATCTGCAGTTTCGGTGTATCTAGAGCAAATAGCAAGTCGCAAGAAGTACACGTCATTAATCTTCGATGGCACCAAATGAATGACGCCTCTGGCATTGATATTCTTTAGCAGATTTTCGCTAATTTCGTTCTTTCCTCTCAAACGGAAGCACACCAAGCCCATAATAACTTCTTCAGTAATTTCAAAGCGATCGTCCTTCCTCACAAGAGATTCAAAATGGTGCGCCAATGCAACGTGCTTCCTAATGAAGGTCTGCAAATTTTCAATACCGTACAACCGGAGAACAAACCAAAGCTTCAACGAACGGAACCTTCTGCCCAGTTGGATCTGCCAATGACGGTAATCCGGCGCTGAACCCTGCTGGTCGTGTTGCAGATACAGAGGATCAACGTTGAAAGCATTCACCAGCCAACTGGGATCCTTCAGCCACATGGCTGAACAATCAAAGTTCACCAACAACCATTTGTGCGGGTTGAAATTAAAGGAATCGGCACGCTCGATGCCCTTCATCAGATATCTAAATTCGGGACAGATGAAAGCGGAACCAGCATATGCAGCATCAACATGCAACCAAACGTTATTGGCATTGCAGACCGGACCAATTTCATCTAAATTATCAAAAGTGCACGACGAAGTTGTACCCAATGTTGCAACCACCTGAAAATTTCATCATCATTAACATGAAATATTTATGAAGCATTTGCATCCCGTTATATACAAATTCCTTGACGCAAAAGGTTAATTCAATTTTCTATTTTAAATATCTTTTAAAGCCTTGATTTCAATACCAAGGCCATATAACATAGAGTACGCACTAAACAAGATACGTACGTAAAATGGGATAAGGCCAGCTTCAATGTCTTCCTTGATGGCTTGTTCCACCGTCTCACCGCGCAGTCTGTTGCTGCTATCTGGCTTCAATGATTTTAAAGTTACTCCACCCAACAAGCCAGCCCTTTCTACAGAGGAATGACTTTGACCTTCGAGAAAAAAAGAAACGTGTTTTAATTGTCGTTCTTTTTCATTTCATCCGAAAAAACTTACTCGAACTGTATGCCACTAATTTAGAGATGATGTCGGAATCTTTCCATTCGGGATGCGCCTGCTTGGCAAGAGAGATGGCGCGTGCCTTAGCACCGAGAAGGGCAACTAAAGTGGCCTCACTAGCAGTTCCTTGAATCACGCCACCCCCTTTGCCACCCGAACAAGCCAAAAACTCCTTCGGCAAATCCAGCATTTTACCAAGCCAATCCAACATAACCACTTCCAATTCCGTACAAGCCGGACTGGCAATCTGTAATGATGCATAAATCGTTGTAGTCACAGCTAGTTAATTCACAATAAGCATAACGTGCGGCATCATCGAGACAAAAGGACCCGAGTTAATTCACCGTGAAGCGCAATTTCCCCTGCAATCGTCAAAGGACTCTCGCAGGAAATTGCTGCCGCTTTAAGAAGATGTTCGATAATTAAAATGTAAGTTGAATACCCAAGAGAATCCGATGCAGGCTATCGCTCCGCTCAATATGTCTGCAACGATTGCTGGATATGAATTGGCCGTGGGGAAATACGCATGAAATCTCGGAGAATGCCAATGCGTTACCTAAC